GTCGTACCTGCGAATATGATAACAGCACAAAATAATCTACGCACACATAGGTACCAGTTCTTTCAATACAAATAATCAATAACAATAATTTTGGAAGGCAAGACTCACTAAGTGTTCATTTGCATTAGACATACATTTGCTTTATTAGGATCATATAATAATCGATAAGTTAGGGAAACTATTCATAACAGCGAGCATACGAGGGTTGTGTAGTAATTTTTCTTTGGGCACAGTGAAAGCGACATTCAGGGTAAAGACAACATACAGCAGCTGCAGCTTAAACAACGGTCGACGTTACGACGAAACGACGAAATGACAGACGGGGACAAAAGACCGGCGGCGGCGGCGGCGTACGGTCATCCACGTAGGCGAAACACGAGTAAGACGAAATAGCAAAGAGCATTTCTCAACTGAACCAGTTTCTTCTTCGGTCGCGCTGGCATACCGTATGATACACACAGAGAGACTAGAAACTTCGTACGGTGGCCCGTAAGATGCGATTTGGTAACAGAGAGATGCAACAGCGCCACGCAGCGGCGCGATTGCCGTCAAACGACGTAAAGGACGATCGCAGAGTCCGTCATGCTCTAAGCAACTTGAGCACTCGATGGACAGAAAACTGAAAGTCGAAGGGATGAAACACGCCTCACGAAACGACTTCACACGTACCATTCAGAATATAATCCGTTAGCAGGCTAGGTACATTTGGATTATCGGCATTGACGGCCCGGAGGACTAAACGCACGTTGGTTAGTGACCTTGGTTTAACGCATAAGGACATAATCGAAAGGCTGTACTTTTGATCAGGGCTTGAAAGGTAACGTTGTCCGGTACGCCGGCACCTTCATGGAAAGGAATCACGGAAATCATGTACTGAAACAGACACAAATACATACAGCGAAACAGAAGGAACGAAACAGAAACACCGAAGAGGGCCAATTGCCGAATATACAACACTTTACCTGTGGTTGACACCCGTTGCCACCGGACAGCAGACTTCGGGCACCTTTTCTCTTCTGCTCATTCAGCCACTGCCGTCGTTTGTGCTGTATACTGAGAAGTAAAGAAATGAACGTGTTCTTCAGCTCTTTCTGATATTCGAGCTCGTCTCGCAGAGCCAGTTCCTGTACAAGGGTCTCGTTATACAATTGAATCAAGGCTTCCAACTCGGCGTGAAGGGCAAGAAGTTTCTTGTATGTCAACGTTTTGAGCTCTAAACAGAAAGCGACGCAAATTACATAATTAATGATCGGCATGTGCTGACTATATTATGATAACGTAGCACGAATCCAAAGAAGCAAGGAAACCTTGATAAAAGAGCAATGATCAAAGAAACAGAACAATAGCAATACAAGGACTGTGTACAAGACTGCAAAAGTAAATAAATCTGTAGGAGTGCATGGTGTTTTGTCGTAATGCTTTTGCACTCTGTCTAACTTGTCGAACGCAGACCGGGCTTGCTCATTCGACAGAGTGCCTAACTCAGAACCAAAAGATATAGCGTTCGCGCACTAGATAGACTAATCAAGTTCCTCAGTCTGAAAGTCGATGAATGAGTACTACCTCAGCTCCTCTTGCGGCTCGGTGCAAATGAATATCTTTTAATGCAGCTGGGCTAAACAGTCCCCTTGCTCTGATACTAGGCAAGAAATATCATAAGGATAACTATGCAATAAAGCTGAAGATCGAGTTCGAAGTTCAACTGTGGCAGGTGAACTTCCTGTACTTCCAACCATGAAAAGAGCCAAAACTAAAGTGCAAAAACTTTAAACAGTTGCTAAATAACAGAAAAACAGTCCTTCGGTATCAGGGTTACTTAACAACAGGGTGGCAAGTGCATCGTTCAAGTAGTATCATATATCGTGGAGAGGACTGCAGTTCGGGACAAACGCTGTGGGCCGTCAAACTGTGTTCTCTTCGGCATCAGATATTCCGAATGAATAGATGATGGCCTGAAGCATTTGACTCATGCGGTCGATTAGGTGTGGAGAGAGGGGGTAAAAGAAACGGTAGAGCAACTCACTACCTCTTTAGTTTAATGCACTCGATACTGGTAGGGATCTTGATCTACTTGAAAACAGGCATCGTGCAGCGTACAGACAAACAGACCAACAACAGCGTTGACATATTTACGCCAATTCCGTGTACTTTACATTCCGTTGTGTGCTTACCTTCCTCGTCTGCAGCGAGAATCAGTCAGCATTAGAAAAGAGAAAACAGAAAGTCGCAATTTTCTTAACAACGTACTTTCTTGACTGGTAACCAGGGAGGCTACCTCGCGAACGCGCGCGATCAGCTCCGGGTCGAAAGACGTCGAGCTGACCACCGACAACGGGGATTTCAACGGCGAGTACATCGAGTCAACAGAGTCCATGGTCATGTCGCTGCTGCCTGTCATGGCGCTGATGTCTGACTGCTGAAAAACAAAACCAGTGAGGCAAAACAGAAACTGTCGCGAAGACCACAGAACAAAAGAGCCAAGCTCGAAAGCCTGTCGAAAACATTTGTTTTATCCACAGAGCAACGGAGGGGAATCGCAGCTATACAGTACAATTTAGGTAGAATTTCAAAATCGATTACTCCTTGATAATAATCGGAAAGACCGAACCACTTTCGAGGATGAAGGCATCCAAACAAATAACATAATACCCGTTTCTCAGCGTAATAAAATAACTTTCTCATCACGCTTGAAAAACGCGTCGAAATTTTAGAGGTCTACATACACCTACATATGTGTAAGAACTGAAGCATACAGAAAATCAGTGATGAAGTACATGCCTCGATCCAAAGAATCTGCATATCAAAATGACGTTCATTTGCTCACCGATTTTTATCCATGAATTCCTTTTCAGTGGCATTAGTCGTTCACGTGCTTTACTGCTGCAGTTAGGGCAATGGCTTATTAACTATGCCTGACTGTCATACTTGGAGACCATGTGAATGCGGAAATCCAAACAGCTGTTAGCTTTGCTACGTTCCACTATGGCTAATTCGCTGAACCACCATAATCTACAGATCACGCCCGAATTAAATGCGTCTTCTCATTTGCACATTTGTAACTGCACATAAATAATGGCCATACGCAGCAAAGAAGCGTCGTGGGTAAACCTTGAACTACCATAACTGAATCACATCACTGCAATTACAGAACACCTGGGCACAGAGGTTGCCCTCATGACAATCCTACAGTAATTTCAGATTAGTTAATAAGCCAGCTAGCTCATGGGCCTGTATACAAGGCCTTCCAGTCATATTATTCCCTGGCAGTGTTAGTGCTTGAGTCACTTTTTCGTCGTACTCCTCCGATCTTCCTTCCACACAGCTGAATCGAAACAGCCTGCATTCCATCAGCTTTCAGAACCTGATTCGACAGCTCAGATGCCTCTTCCGAAGGTAGTCAGGGTGTGCTTCTTTCTGCTAACAACACATCCATTTATTAGCATTCGAACTTTTGCTCAGTTTAGCAGTGGCTCAAACTTCTTCATGTCAGCCAAACATTTGGCTCCGCGCAAACTGAAAAAGAGCGCACATTTTGACCGGTCTGTTAATTCACTACCCATTTGAGCACTGTCTTGAAGGATGTAACAGTGATGTCTGAATTTTCGGGTTGGAGGGACGCGTACTGTCCGCTACTTTTGTTGATTAGTTACTCTACCCGTTTTGACGACGAAACTCGTCTACTCTTCAAAGTAGCACCTGATCATCCGTCCAACTTT